GCAGCACCGACAACGCAGGATTACAAGTCTTCAGAGCTGTCCAATGAATAACGTAACTCTCAGTTCATATAACTATTGAGCTGTTTACAACACTTGGTTTGTTTGTAGTAAGAGTAAAGGTTCTGTAAGACAGCATGACCTTGATGCAGCGTTTGAGTTATTTTCTATATTACTGTTGGCTTATTTACCCAAATGAAATATTGTTATTTTGATCCAGTATTTTGAGCCTGCTGGGGGACACAACAAGCTCAAGTTGTAAAAATAAAAGGTCCAGTATGTAACATTTAGGAGAGGATCTATTGGCAGAAATGGAATATAATATTCATAGGTATGTTTCTGTTAGTGTATAATCAGTTGAAAATAAGAGTAGTTTACGGACAAACCAAACACTGGCTGTAGATAAGGCCTACACACTTCACAGCCCATTTTCATTCCCAGGTTTTCAAATACAGACTCGAGCGGTGTTCAGTTAGTTACAGTCTGCAACTTCACTGTGAGATGCAACTAAATCCTACACACTGGACCTTTAAAACTGTTACAAATGTATTGCTAGTTGTTTAAAATGACAGGGATACATACATTATTAACTTTCAGTAACAAATATATTATTTGTTACTGAAATTATTAAATTTTTTTTATTAAATTAAAACAGGTCGCAACCATGTTGGTTTGGGTAAATAACCCAATTGTGAAAAATGAAAAATTACTATTATTAATAGGCATAAACAACTCATTGCCTTGGGTGCTTTTCTATATTTACTGTAATGTACATACAATATTATGCTTCGGTTTAGACCCAATGAGCCACACTGCAGGTGTGAACACTTTGAATGACTTTCCTTCCTCATCTCTTTTTATTCAGTCAAAAAATGATGCTTCACAAAAAAAGAGACAAAGAGAGCTTTTTAACTTTTTTTTATTTATTTGATTGGATTTTCAGTTCAATTTCAAATAACTTTCATACATTTCTATCATTGTGTGCCTATGGAATAAAATCGTTGGAATACAAATGCTGAATATATCAAAAAACAGATTTTGTCAGACCATTTGGGCAATGAGAAGCAGGTGGAGTGCAGAGTAAGGTTGAGAGGTGTGCGCACATACACACTCACACAACCACATACATACACACTCACACAAACGGCTTTGTTCCCCCGGGTAGACCATGGAGCCGTCAAAACCACTCTGATTCTGAATTAGCTCTGATTGGCTGTCATTGCAGTGTGTCCCACACAGCTGAGACCACTCAAAACCACACACACACACACACACACACACACACACACACACACACACACACACACACAAACACAAACACACTTTTATGGTTTGGGCATCATGTTTCACTAAACTGCTGAGTTCTCTAGGCTGTAACTAAGGCTGTTTTAAGAGCTGTGGTTGAGTATAAATGCGCATGTGTGTGTCTGTGTGTGTGTGTGTTCGCATCTGTCTATACGACTGCAGTAAATTCATGTATGCAATATATTAAAATTTTCAGATTGTGGGGGCGTATGTTATCCTGCCTCTAGCAAGCTTTAGATATTTTCAGAGGGTCTACTAGGCCAAAAATATTTGACATTTGACAATGGCATTTGGCATTTCAAGCTACACAATCTACCAAAAAAAAGTTACATATAGGCTACATATAGATTTTTGTCAAATAATACCATGTGTCTTTTCCACCACAGATGTGGTATTATTCTACTCTTGGCACCCTTGTGGTCTGTCTCACTGAAAAGACCAGAGCTATTCACAATAATTTCAGTATCGAAAAGAATGAGTGTGACTCATATGAAAATAAATGAGTTTGAGAGAGTCCTGGTATTTGCAGAGATGAACAGTGTCTGTGTGTAGTGTACCGTGTTATTAAGATAATTATCACACTATCTTGTATGGAATCATTAAATCCCACTCATATGTCACTAAAGAACTACTGTTCAGCATAAGCCTGATTAAAACTGGGAAAATGACTCTGTGTCACTGCCACAAAATTCATACAGTTATATAAACTTCTAAACAAATATGTTTTAACATGCTACTCATTTATTTAATTAAGAAATGATTCAGGTTTAGTATAAATGTTGCTCTGACACCACAAGCATGCATGCTAAGTAAAATGTGAGTCCAAAGAAAGCAGACCCGCCCACCTCTGAAGGGGAGCCACAGTGCCAGCAAAGACTTGTGTGGCTAAATCAGCAGGGGTTTACCCGTCTTGCTAGCTCAGTTTGGGTTGGATGTCCATCCAACAAGCCTGCTTCTCTGGTTACAAATGTGTCTCGGTAAGCATCATTCTTGCTCAGAAACTCGAGGTGGTGGGAGCAGCAAAAATAAGCAAAAGAGAAAGCGGGAGAAGGTGTAAAAAAAGAAAGAGAAAAGAAAAAAGAAAAAAGAATTCTATAAAAATTTCAAACCAAAGCATGGATTCCATCTACAGAGGCCTCAGCATCAGGTTTCTCTACAAACAGCAGCCCATTTATCCAAAAGTGTGTGGTTAAGAACAGAAAGCGGAATTGATCTCAGAAAGAGACACACATGTGGAGTAGCATGCATAAACACACACATTAATGCACATGGTAATGTAAGTTATATGTATGTGTGTGTGTGGGTGTGGTCGGTATATATGTATATGTGTTGGGGGATGTATAGGATCCTACATACAGGCATGCTAAATCTCTGTAATCCCAGAAAGAGACTTCCCTTCTACTGAAGTGTGGTTTATGAGACCATTATTTATTGATGATACATGAGCACCCTCTAGTGTTGATATACAAAACTGCACTCATGATACCAATCGGTAAGCATAGCATAAACTGCATGCTGCCCTCCCAACAAATAACCCAGATAATAATAATGTGTGCCTAATAGTGGTTTTGCTCACTCTAGTCCTCCAGACATCTCTGTGCTCCAAACTTTTCACACTGATTTTAAAAGTAATGAGCTGTTTTACAGCTTGTATTTACTCCAAATGAGGAATCTTTAAATTCTAAAGAAATAAAAGGTTGTCCACATTATTCTGTCTTTCAAACATCTGCCACAGACCGCTAATAAAATCTCTGAGGCTGGAAAAGTACCTATTTATTATTCTAGTGATTGAGGAGTCAAAAAGTTGAGCTTTTATGGTTGCTAACAGAACACTTTCAGACAGAATTATGATTTAAGCAAACATTTAACATCTCAGTTGGCACTTGAGGCTATTTTTCAACCCTGAGAACTAAAGTTCAGCTGAGTGCCAACATCAACATATTAACCATGTATATCACATAACTGAAGCAGTAATGAAAACAAGAAAGGAATCCCCATGGTGAACATGATGAACCATAGTGAATGGACAAAGGAACATCTCCATCAAAGTCCTGGGAAAATGTCCGGCAATGTGGGAACATTTGCTTATTTCCTAACCCTTCCTCCCACAGCAGTGTCAGTAACACTACTTAAAGCCACGGTTCGCATAAATATAATTAGTAGAATCTGTAGCATGGGAATATATTATAAAGCCCAAATAGCCTCACCGAACCATTTGGAAAGGACACAACGTACATATGAGACAATATGAAAAAAACATAGGAGGCACAGTGGCAGTAAGCTCACACATAAAACACCAGACGGCCCTAGTTTTATCCGTCTTTCCACCACAGAAGCAACCCTCACTAAATTGAACACAGGGTTCTTTTAAGAAGCACTTTCTCTGAGCAAAGTCTACCCAAGGCATCAATTTTAGTTTAAACAACTAGTGTTTTTCATGTTTTTCATTTGTAACCAGAACACTTGCCTTTAAAATGACAAGTTGGTTAAAAAAAAAAAATCCAATCCACATTTTAAAAAACACCTTCATGGAATGTATGGGGCAGCATGCTCATTAGCAATGATGCAGTTTATGTTTAAGACACATGGTGCTGCACTGTTTGGGGCAAATGTAATGGTCTGTTAAACCTGATTATTCTCAGAAGCCGGGGTTTACTCTGCAAATATAAACCCAGTGGCTGTGTCTTGCAGAAAGTGCCACTAGGGGTGGCTGTTTGTCAGGTTTTACAGCAACCTTCTGCAGGTAGAAATGAGGACTGGACTGGCGTATTGTAGGTGCAGTAGGACTTGTGGTTTTCAGTGCTCCTGGGTGGATCTTGACTCCATACCTGTGGTTTAGCTGGTCCTGTTCTTGTTATGACAGAACAATGAACTTAGCCAACAGCAAACGCTTTCCAAGCATCAGGTTGTTTTACTATAATAGTAATAGCAATACTAGACTGTAAATAAAAATGATTCTAACTCCTAAACTACATGATACTCATTTGATTTTATGCCAAAGCATCGCTTTTAAAATACTGCTTTATTTGCTGCATATTGTTCTCAAGGTTCTCTCTGCAAATCAAGAGCTATGAGGCGTCCAAATGTAGCTCATTAGCTGGAACCAACCGTGTGACAGGGCACTGTGAAGTAGACACATTTCAGCACATTTCAATCCACAAGTCTCACCCTATTCCTCAGCAGCTCTCTGACGTTTAATGGAAAACTTAGGCACAGTTATTGGCACCCAAATACATAAATACAGTTGAGCATATTGTTGTATCTGACTTCCTTATTAAAGGAACCAGACAACAGTTACACTCTTTCCTTTTCGTTGGATTAACGGCACTCATCCAGCCAGTTCCAAACAGCAGCACTATTTGTTTATGTTTGATTATAAGCTGATGTATTTTTATGCTTTGGAATGCATATCATCTCTGTTGATCAATTATGACTATGTCACATGGCTTTAACACTGACAGCTTTATTTTCAGTGGGAAGTTTGTGTGCTGATGTCACATGAACACCATGAATCTATACGGCTGTGTTCATCTTGCCCCTACAACAGAACACTATCTATTTTGTATATGACTCAGATGAGTGGTTATATCAAAGATGATTCCATATTATCTATTCGCAATTTTATTAACATATTTGATTTAATTAAATGTAAACACATTTTGGAAAAAATATTGGTGCTGGCATATTATTTTGTTGGTTTTATAGAATATATGGAAGAACAAGAAGATTAAAAACAATTTTAGAAAGTTCACACATTATAACTTAACAGGTAACAAACATCATATCCATTATATGGCTCTGCTGTGAGCAATAGCAAGCTCAACCCCAGTTGTCTACAGGTGCTTTTTTCTTCACACTGAAACTGAAATACAGTTTAACAACACAACCTTCAGTTTTAGTGCGGATGTGTGAAACCTGCGAATCCTAATATGGTAGTGATATACTGACGTATGTTTGTCTCCAACTGCTCAACGTACCTGATTTCGAGATAGTCTTTTGAGACACTCGCAATGCTAAGCACACACAGCCGTTCATCCGTAAAGGCACTGTTCCTGCTGAGTAAAGTTGGGTGTGACCAGTGTAACTTATACCCTCCCCATTTGTCCGCGTTCACACAGTAGCAGTTTCCTCATTTTTGATGGCACTCCCTTTACTGACCTTGTGATTGGTTTATTTGCACATAAAAGATACTTATCAGTGACGCTTTAGTTTACTGCATGCGGAAACACTGTTCCACATTGCCATAGACAGACACTGCCCTGCCAGCTGCAGTGTTTATTCTTTCCAGGAAACACTATCTGTACTAGAATAGTGCCAGCAGACAGAATCCCAGGGATATCTACATGTTTCAAGGGGCAGGTGTGGACAAGTTTCAGTGCCGAGGAGGTATCTCAGATTTATTTTGAAGGATCTGTCTGAGGACATCTTTCAGGATGGACAGCTTGTTCTTTGAGGACTTCTTGAAGGGTTGTGGATAGCTTTCCTCAGGTTTTACACACAGGAAATTCAGCAAGCAAAATCACACACCAGCAGATGGCCTCATTTGACAACATACAGGAAGTATTACTATTGCTCTGTAATTTATAGTAGTAGGCCTAACACTGTATTAAGACAATTTAGCCAATAATTAAGTATTTTTTCTTTTAGTACATTACATTTGTCTTTTGTTTTGCTTTTCAAAAATAAATTAATATCAGTCTAAAAGTACTTGGTGATAATATACAAATTAAAGGAACTAATAGACATACGCAGACAACAATACTCTTTTAACTGAACAAGAACACTAGATTCTGGGTAGGGCTAACTTAAGGGGAGACTAATGAAAAAGAAGCATGATTAATTATTAACAACAGGTGTGAGATTCAACCTGATCAGGTGACTTGAATAAGGAAGCTGGCAAAGTAAATAAAAACCTGTCTGGCTGCTCTAGTGCTTGGAGCACCTTTGACTAAATGCAAGTGGTGGAGCTGTACGAGAGCAGCTGAGTGTCCAGTCCTCAACTGCCGGTGTAGCAAAAATGATAAAAAAACTCTTCAACATCTTGGCCATTTTTGCCCTGCTCAGCCTGGCATATTTTGCTGTGTCTCTGCTCTACGGGAAAAACAGCAATTTTACTTTTTTTGCTCAGAAGTATCACGTGAAAAATAGAAATGGCACTTATTTCTGGATGTCAAAAGAACTTGTGCAACGGCTTGAAATGTGGGAAATGCAGACTCATGCCCCAAACGCCAGCCTAAAGAACACAGAGGTGCCAGCCCTTACTAACAAGACTTTAGAACTCTGCCCTGACACCCCTCCGCAGCTCGTGGGTCCTCTCTATGTGGATTTTAAAAATAAACAGACTTTGGATGAGGTGAGAGAAAAGGTCGGTTCATCTCTTCAGAAAGGAGGAAGGTACAAGACGCCAGATTGTATCTCCCGACAGAAGGTAGGTGAATGAATGAAGGGACAAATGAACGGATTAATAGAATAAACAATAGAAGTATGGATGAATTAATAACTGACAGATTTGGAAGGGTGTACCATGGTCTCAGATACCTGGAATCTAATTTAAAAAGAGGTGTCTAGATGTACAATCTGTGAACATAGGTACAGTATGTACTATTTGTACAATGTGTGTATATTATTATTATTAAATTATTATTAAATGATTACATCAACAACAGCTTTCAATAAAGTGTGTCACAGGTAAAGCATATTGTTGTCATCATTTTGGACAGTATAGTCTAGAAATGTTAACTTTAGTGGGGGGTTGTGTATCTATCATTATTTCTAGTTTTATTTAATTTAATAAAAACTAATAAGTCAAAAAATCTGAACTCAAAGTGAAAAAGTGAATACTTACAGGATACTTTTCACTGATTATTGACACTGAAGGGTTTTAAGGGAAAGAAAACACCAAAGTCTTAATGATTCTCTACATTAAAGCAAAATTACTTATTTCATCTGTTTAGGTGGCGATAATCATCCCCTTCAGAAACCGGCATGAGCACCTGAAGCACTGGCTTTTTTACCTCCATCCTATACTGATGCGACAGCAGCTGGACTACGGCGTATATGTCATCAACCAGGATGGAGAGGGAGTGTTCAACCGGGCTAAACTGATGAACACAGGCTATTTTGAAGCACTGAAGGAATATGATTACGAGTGCTTTGTCTTCTCTGACATAGATCTGGTTCCTATGGATGACCGTAACCTCTATAGATGTTTTGACAACCCCCGGCACTTGGCTGTAGCAATGGACAAATTTAACTTCCACTTACCCTATAAGACCTACTTTGGTGGGGTCTCATCACTGTCCAAGAGCCAATTCTTGAAGATAAATGGCTTCCCGAACAGTTACTGGGGCTGGGGCGGTGAGGATGATGATATCTATAAGCGAATTGTCTTCCATGGAATGTCCATTTCTCGACCTGACTCTGTGATTGGAAAGTACAGGATGATCAAACATGTGAGAGACTTGCACAATGAGGCTAATCCACACAATCCGGACAAACTGAGAAAAACCCATTCAACCATGGACAAAGATGGGATTAATTCCCTAAAATACACAGTCAAGGAGATTGTAAAGGATGTACTGTATACTTTCATCAGTGTGGATATTCAGGCCCCGCCAAGCTGAATGAGGATGGAAGTCAGTATAAACTTTATGAATATGAAGTACAGAGATTCTATCTGTTTTTTTCTCAGTTACTGTGGCACGATCCTTGAATGACCATCAATGTTCACAAAATAAAATGTGAAATTCACATTTCTCATTGCTTTTACACAAAAGTCAAATGTACAGCTATCTTTAAATGAGCCAGCAATGCACTGGGCTGCTCTTTGTGATGGATTCAGACACAAGAGGAGTAAAAAGTCTGCTCATAAATAAGAATATGTGGTGGATGTCACAGCAGAGATATTTTGGGAATTGTTGCATCACTTGCGCAGATTTTTGTGCATTCTGTTTTGTGTTTTTCCTCCCTCCTTTCTCTCCTTACTCTCTCAGGTGTTCCTCATTGGGGAGGGTTGGTTTGTGGCCCTACCCCCATATTTAGCTAACAGGTTCATGTTGTCTAACGTATGAGCTGTCAGGTATGTGTGGTTTGGGGATATAGTTTTACGACTTTTGTGCACTATGCCTTTGGGCTATGTTAATCAAGTTTGTGGCCATGTGCTGTCTGTAGGTGGTGTATTGGGAGCGTCCTATAGGGTTAAAGTCTGTGTGTGTTACTTTGCCTATAGCACTTTCACAATAGGCCCTTGACAGTATCTGTAACTTGTACTTGTTTCTTCTATAACACTTTTTGAAAAATTAACACTTTGTTGGCAGCGTTATGTGACGGTGCCATTGTTGGGAGATGCTTTGTTGGTACCTGGTCCTGGATTGTTTGGCTGGTTTGCCACAGTGGGATTTCATTTTGAGGCATTTGTTAGTCGCACCATTGACAATGATGACAAGTTAGATGGGCGTACGAAAGAAAAACTTCTGTGTGAAAATATTTAGCATTCCGATCAGCCCGCAAGGCCAGTAACAGGTCTTGAATTATATTATCTTGCCAGGATTGTTGTGCAATACTGGTTTAGTGACAAAAGTTCCAGTGACTGTTCAAGTGTCTGGCAGTGTCATTGTTTCCAGTGGTGCAGAAAGGAATCCTACGAGGATCAGTGTGTTTTTAAGGAACTGGGACACATTATTGCAAATTGTAATGCTTTGCATAGTGTAGCAGATGCATTATCACACTTGTAATTTTACAATGTTTGTGACTTATTTTTGTGTGGGGAATATAATTGCTAACTTAAGGTGAGGGTGTTGTGTGCTACCTGCCTCCTTGTGTTTTTCCTCCCTCCTTTTTCTCCGTGCACTCTGTAAGTGCTCCTCATTCAGCATGATTGGTGGCCCTGCCTACAGATCTAAGGGAGGCTGGAGAAGCAGGATCCTATCACATATGATCTTTTGCTCATTATTTTTGTGTTCTGTTATTTGAGGATGAAGTTTATATATATTTTGTTTTTTTTTGTTTTTTGTTTTTTCATGGGTCAGCCACACATTGGACATTAGCCTTCCTCCATCTATTTGTTTTCCAGACTCCCATAATTAATAGCACTATTTGTAAAATAATTTTGCTTTAAAAAAATAATGATCAGGTTACATTGTCCATACGCTGACTGTAACAATTGTAAGGTCGAATATCACACATGAAGGAGATGACTTGGAGTCATCAAAGAGGAGTGTTAGATGGCCAATGAGCTGGTGAAGGGGTTTTATATTTTGTTTCTCATTTATACAACAGTTTCTCATTTTCTTTAAGGTACAATGCAATAACCTTTCTGTTACAGACATTACTTCTAATGTACTCCATTACCGCTCACTGTGAATACGGAAGATACTGGAAAGGTGTACACAAACTGTGAGAAACCTCTGAATAGTCTTACAGTTGAAACCTGTTTTGCATAAAATGTTTTGATGGATACTATTACATTGGCTAGGGGGTATTTAACACGATTCCTCAGACTTTTGAATGTCTGGGGTAAGAATAAAGAATGAGAAATGAACTTTGGTTGCAGTGATACACTGCTTGGCGTGTCTTTTTCTCTCTGACAGATGTGCTTAAACAATTGCAAAGAACTGGAATGAAATGTATGATCAAGCTCTGAGCTTCTGGGTGAATAAAACAAAATTAAACCACTAGTAGATTGTGGTAACTAAAAGTACATTTGCTCAGTGAAATTGATGTTGTAAACTATTTTTAAATGCATCAAAGTTACTCTTAATGAGAGATTAAAGATTTAGATTGTTTTACTGGTTGCCTTTGTCCCTCTGTGCAGTTACATTTATGGTAACAGGTACATTTGGAGCCCCTAGGGGTCAGAGAAATATGACCTGACAGGTCAGCCAAGCAGAAGACGCTTTAGAAAGAGTATTCTATAGCCCTCTGCCCAGAATACACACACTCACAAACACAACCATACATACATACGTAATGTATCCCCCATCCTGACCCACCTCCTAATTAATTTTTCAGCATTGTTTCTCTTGGAAATGGGAAGCCGGGGGGCAGCCCACGTTAATATTGAGCTCATGATGATCAACTGATTTTTATCACCTGTCTAATAGGGGATACATACCAGTTGTGGTTAGCACAAATTCAGTTAAGTGAAATGTTAATCCAATATTGAATGCTAAATTCCAGCCATTGTACTGTGTATCAGACGGCTAACTAACTTCCCTGATCTTGTATCCTTAAAGGAAAATTTAGTCATCACTCATCTTGTGATTTATAATTTGATTCATTTTCCATTTTGCTGCTCACAAGCTCCCATTCAGTTTGTTTTTATCAAATATCTTGTTTCCTGTCATTTTATCATTTCAAAGTTAGAATTTGTCACATTGTAGCAACACATGCCTGCCCGTGCTTTATATGGGCGAACTTGTAAAAACCTGATTTACATGTTTGACCCTCTGTTGTGTTAAAGCGTCACTCAGCACCACATTGTACTGCATGCGTCTGTTTTCATGGGGCACTGCACATTCACAGAGTCAAAAGCTTGTCTGTTGATGAATTATTGACAAGTAGGAGGATTACACAACATCGCCCTGAGAGGGACTGTGGCATCATACGTGAGAGAAGTGAGGGCAACACCAACAAAGAGACGGGGATGTACAGAGAGAGAATATGGTGGTGGTGGTGGTGGTGGTAGTGGTAGTGGGGGTTTCCCATGAGGTTGCAGAGGTGAAACCCAGTAATACAGAGTGGAACCTTTACATGAGGAATTGATGTGTTTTGAGGATGTGTATTAAGGGTCACTTTGAACTCATCCTCAAACAGATTATTGCTCCAGTTGATGGTTGTAAATAGGGATGTTTACACCCTGACAAGACCGATTGAGGCTGAGGCTTTGAGTGTGTGTGCATCAGCAAAAAACATTTGAATTTGTGTCTGTGATCACACGTGCATTTCAACATGTAGGTTGATGTGTGGGGCTTTTTTTCCCCGTATAAATGTTTTACTCCATCAGTTCAACTCCAATCACATCTCTTGCACACTGTGTCAGGAAACCACCACCGCCCCCTAAACGCTCTCCCATCCTCCTTCCTGCCCAGCCCCCTCTTTTCATTGGTTGACCTAGTGGAGTTACTATGGGAACGACTGTAGAGAGGCTGCCACGCAGAATGTGGGGTACAGCTTTTGCATGGCGCTTAGGGCTCCATCACATACACACACGTTTATCAGGGCAAGGAAACCCTACCTAGACCCTAGATCAAGATATATTTTTTAGAACTATCAGTATGATTCATTCTGTTTTTTCTGTGCTAGCATTTTCCTGCACCAGAATCTGTAATTTAGTGGGTCGTTCTATAGGGGGCTTTTTAAATTGATTGCTTTGAAGATATTTCAAATCTACTCTGGTAAAGTAGCTGGTAGCTAATGTTAGCTGATGTTAGCAAACACGAGTCGGATATTGCTGTAGGCCTAACTGACTTTACTGAGTCAATTTGCTGATCTAATGACTCTTATTACGCTACGTTTTAGCATACCATTATCCCATTATTGCTATGTGGCTGCTGTTCATCAAATGTTACGGTAGCTAAACCCTTCATTTAAGAGCACTGAAGCCAGACAAACCCTCACTCACTCACTCACTCACTCACTCACTCACAATAAATCTTCCCACTTTTTCCTCATGCATTTCTTCCTCACTACCTCCCTTGTTCTCCTCTCTTCAGTGGTTTGTATAAGAACTTCATTGTTCAGCACAAACGAAATCCATGCACTAGATTTATGCACCAAAACAAACACGCACACATGGACTCAAACATGGCTCACAATGAGGATGAGTGTCCACATCCAACAACCAAGCAGGAGCAGATTAATGATGAGATCAGCTGGCACACACACACACACACACACACACACACACACACATAGGCGTGCACCAGCATGCACCATTCTCACTGTCAGCATCACTAGCTTTGATCTGGTGGGTACAAGTGAGTGTTATGGTCTTACGTAAGGCTTTTACATAAACCTCAGCGTGCAGAAATGGAGAGAGAGAGAGAGAGAGAGAGAGAGAGAGAGAGAGAGAGAGCTGGATAGAGAGGGAGGGGGTTTGCTGCACCATTACAAAGGGGATTCGCACTGCACCAAATCCTCCTCACACTACACATGCATGCACTACCACTCCACAACAACACACAAGCTTTCTCTAGCAACATGTGTCTTCCTTGAAACAATAGGACCCTCCCTTTCATCTATATTCAGGACACACAGACAGGTTCCATATCCACACGCATCAGCTGTGCATCAGCTGCCTGTCTTTGTCATCAAATGGGCTGTCTGTCCCTGTCTCTATGGGTCTTTTCCCACGAGAGACCAACAGCAGACAATGACACATCCGTCAAGCTTTCATCTCAGAGATCAATAAAATGTATTGATAACCTATTACTGCCAAGCCAAGCAGACCTCTCTCCAAGTGCGACACCACAACAAAAATGCCACATGCTGCACATCAACAAAAGCATCTCTGTTTCTCACCCTCTCTCCCACCCTAGCCTACTCCTTGGGGATTTAAGCCACCAGTATGTGTGGGTGGAAAGATGGAGGAGGGGAGTTGAAGAGAGGAGGGCTCTAGTTTTGCTCTAATTATACAAGTACACAAAGCCTCTGATGATAAGGTGTATGGGTTCTTGTGTAAATGTGGTCACAAAGAGTCTGGAGCTCATCATCTATCAGCGCAAACACAGTTTTATTCATTAAATATGAAAAGTGGAAAGACTTCACACCGTGAAAAGACAGACGGTAACAAAAAAGAAGGAAAACATAATGTGCTTTTCACTGCAGCGAATGATCACATAAAGGCCCAGATTTATAATCAGAAAGAAAAGAGAGAAGTATCAGTCTGAAAAGAAAGGAACTGAGACAGGTGGCAATATGGTGGCCTCTGTGGTTGATGCCATTACTGTGTACATGCCAGTGCGATAGATCAAGGTACTCAAATGTCCGGCTTTCATTTTCATTATGTAATTCTTGGAAGAGGTGGAGAAACAAGTTACTCACAAAACTATGGCACGTCGGACATCAACCATGGAGGGCGCCATATACACAAAACATATGATGCATAATGCTATTTTTCCAGTTCATAGTTCCTTACTCTCTCTTCAGTTTAACATGAATGTAATTTGATTCAAACAGTGTGGTTTCCCATTCATAAAGCAAAGTCAAATTGTGATTTTTGGACTCATCGGGCAACTGTTTTGGTCAACAATCCACGAGCATCAGCACTACTGTTTTTTCAATTTTTACCAGGAATACTTCAAAGGTTTGGATTGTTACCCATTTCAATCACCAAACAAGTTACCGTATGTCACCATTCCTTTCCATCGAATCACCCTTCTGTCAATCAGCATTCCAAGGACGGAAGAATGAAGTTGATTGAACAATAAACAAAGAGCACAGTGTAGCAGAGAAAACATAAAGGACATGATCATTCCCTGCTCCCCATATGACCTTTAGCCTGTCCTTCTTTTATCGGGTGAGAAACACACTTACTGCAGACCTGGGATCAGGTTACCCCATGGCCTGCCCTACACTACACCATGTGGAGGCTGAAAAGATATCTGAACCTGGAGCAGTGTTGTGGATCAATCATTACATTCTAAATGAGATGGAAAGCTATCATGAACTAGAATGACCCTCAAGTGTCATTGGTACCCCTGTGGTTAGGATTGGAGAAAACGTGCATCATCTCAAATGGCTTTTCCTATGAAAACCCCCCTCTTTAACCGAAGGGTAGGGAACACTCTGCTCCCTGTAACTTGTCTCACTGAATCACTGACAAAGGCCTTTTAAGACTGCAATACACCCCCTCATTCTTAAAACAAGTGGTGCTTTGCAAGGCTGCAACACTGTGCAGTAGTTTGTCTTCATTTTTCAGATCTTAGAAAACAGTCAACTCCACCATTTGTCGTGCCCCCACAAAAGAGGGACAAAGAGGAAAACAGACCAATACAGGAAAATATATGCTGACCAATGATCTACAATGATGTGAAGCTACATTCAGATTCACACACAGCTGCGGTGGTTCCTCGAATGAAGTTGTACAGTGTTTATCAGTACAACAGCCAGGAGAAGGAGGGTGAAGGACTGTGACATGGTTTACCATTAATCCCCACATTTTGCTTTACATCTTAAGCTGTGATCCAGTAAATTACGTGACTCTTTATCTGAAGCCCTGAATTTCCTCACAGCCTGTTTAGAAAACCACTTGCAGGCATATTCTGGCTCTGTAAAACTGGCTGACAGCGAGGATGCCTACCTATCATCCTCTCACATCAGCCTATACAGTATGTTGGTAGAGAAAAACAGAAAGAACAGAAAGCAGAGTATTAAGAAGCTGGTGCGATCACAGTTAAAGATCCGTACAGTATATGACTTCGGAAAGGAGGAGCCTATAAAAACAGTATGAAATTCAGTGAAGTACTAACTAGAAAAAATTTGTTGTTTGTGCATGTGTCCTTGACGAAGAAAGTCATCCAGTGTAGCTACAAAGACAGTGCCAGAGGTTGAACAGTGTGTGTAACTAAGATCATTCAGTATTAGACAATGTTCCCTGACCTTTGCGCCTTGTATGTGTGGCACTGCATGCAAAGAGGGTGAGAAAGTGTTTGTGTCCGTGTATGATTTTGGACGTGTGTGTTGTGTGTGTGTTTGTGTGTATCAATGCATCAGTGTAAGGGATCCCTCCAGGTTGAGTATTGCGATAGCTTTGTAGGTTTCCATTGGTAATTCAACAGTTGTAAATCCCAGAGATTTAAGTCCTATGGATGAACTTCGGTTGATGCAGTGATCCAAAAGCAACAGGCTGAACAGGCCAAACTTCAAAGTCAAAAGTCCAATAAAAAAAAAAAACAGTCAAAACAGAGGTGGTCTCCCCTCCAAAACACATAGGATATTGTGTGCCACATTTGGAGATGCAAAGTAGGTAAGTAATAAAACCAGCTCTATGTTCATTTGTATATTTGCACGTACAGTTTAATAATCAGTGTGGGGTCAGAAGAAGACCATCTTCAAAAAGCAAAAAACACATACAACAGCCAAAAAATGGTGGGTTATTCCATACTGGGGGACATTGTTGAGTCTGTTCAAGACTATTAGAGTCTGTCAAATGAAGACTGGGTTTCTTTTCAAACTTTGGCTCTAGATCAAAGGATTAGGAGGTAATTTGTTACAGATTAGACAAGATGACAAACTGAGGAAAAAAAACTTTTGATTAGATTAGGTCCTTATGAGCAAATCATGTTATGCCATGTGGAATTCAATAAGAAAAATGTAAAAGATAAAAAGGTGCTCTGCTTTTTTTTCTGCTTTTTTAGTTTTTCTTTTTTTTGCAGTGTGCAATCATGAGCTGTCAGACTCTCAGCAGGTCAGGAGCTTTTCCAGGAAAGTTACAAGGCAAATGTGTCTATTGCGAGTCCATGGATTGTCAAAAGTCAACCTCCAAAGTCCCAGTGAGAGCTGTGAAGTGTTAACCCAGCTTTTTGGAGTCTCCTTGTGACTTTCTCAAGTGAACAAAACCACTTATTCTACTCTACCCTGTCCTAACCCAAAACACTTAGGGAATGAGAGCTTTTAAGATTTGAGAGGAATTTATAGGCCGTTAACTCTACAGCTCAACATTTTTCTTGGTCTGGGAAAACTTTTGGCTCTGCATAAACAGCACTGAAGTGATGTCCATAAGTTAATAGGAGAGAACTGCCCATTCGACAGGAATTACTTCTTGTGGGCAGTTCCTCTAGTTGTGCTGCCAGGTTTGTTTCCAGAACGACGGACGGGCACCTTGGATACTGGGATTCTGGTGCGAGCTGGGGGAGGCGCTTGGGTCTTTGGAGGGGGGGATTCGGCCTCTAGAACAGAGGAGAGGGCTGACTGGCTTGCAGAGTGGGGAGGGGGAGTTTGTCTGCTGCTAACAGGGATCTTGGATTCCCGAGGCAGGCTGGTGCTGCCTTTCATTGATCGGAAGGAGGAAGAGGAGGAGGAGGAAGGGGAAGTGGGGCTCAGTTTGTATTCAGTGGATGGGGAGGGCGTACTGTTTAGATCTTCCTCCTGCTCTCCATCCTCGTCGGGATCATTGTAGAGGTCGTACAGGTGGTCTCCAGAGCAACTGTCACGTGACAGAGCCATCTTCTGGTTGCGCTGCAGACCGCTCTCATCAGGTGTTGCTGTGGGCGTTGCTGAGGGAGTGTCCCAGTAGCCCTCATCACTGAGTGGCTCTTTGTCACCAGGGGATGTGGGATGGCGGCCATGTGTGTGAGGAAGGGGGGGTTTAGCCGCCCGGCTTCCTGCTGCACCAACTACTGGAATCTTACTGAGCCCCAATGCCTTCACCTGGGGTATTTTTCGGTCTGCACTCTTGGTGGCTGAGGGCAGGTGGCTGCTGGCAAGGCTGGAGGTGGCGCGAGGGGGATATGTGGAAGTTGGGGTTGAAGAGGGAGGTTGGTGTGACCGGGGTAAAGCAGGGGAGTTGTCTCCTGTGGAGGGCAACATATGCCAGAGCCCCTGCATGTCCGCATCGTCCACTCCTTCTGGACTCGCCATTTCTTCCCCTCCGCCCATGTAAGCGACTACGCCACTACCGGCTGGGTGTTGCTGCGGTGGAGGCGGCGCCCGGGCCCGGGCCGGGAGGGAGGAAGGCACTGAGCTTGGGGTAACAGAGAACATGGGCTGTGTGAGCTGGGAAGGTAGAGGGGTTTTGCATGGGGAGCCACGAGACGTGGCACTGGTGATACCAACAACTCTCCCAGCACCCACTCCCACACTCCCCCCTCCTCCCCCACTGCTGCTACTGCTGGTTCCACTGCCCCCATTCCCCGCTGGCCCCTCCTCGTCTGCATCAGCAATAATGTCACCGCAGCCTGTCAGTGAATCAAAGCTCTTGAGGGACGTGACGTCAGTGAAGAGGAGAGAGCAAAGGCGGTCCACCGAAGGCTCTGAGGGTGGGTCACCCGTGCTGCAGCGGTCCAAAGGGGGTGTAGCGAGGGAGGGGGTGAGACTGGAAATTGAGGCTTTGGCTTTTTGGATGGGAGCGCGCAATGGTGAGTCAGTGGGTGTGTAAGGAAAGGGGGAGTCTGGCTCACCAGATGGCCCTGGCATGGCAACACAGTGTGGGGGTGTCATAGTAACACTAGTAGTGGGAGTCTCTAAGTTAGGTTCTGTCTCTCCATTCCCACAATCCTCTTGGTGATGATGCGGAGGCGGTTCAAGGGTGAGCGTAATATCCTTTACCTGTTCAGAATCGGCGACATCCCCATCCTTCTCTCGCCCCTCCACCTCTTCCGCCTCTGCCTCGTTTGTTTTTTCCTTGCGTCTCCATCGCATGCTGCTAAAAAAGCCCTTTAGGCCCCTCCCTCTTCTGACAAGCCCCGCCCCTCCATTTTCACTCGACCTGAAACTCCCACGTCGAAGTAGAGAGAAGAAACTCAGTGATTTACTAAGAGACCTCACTGGTCCCGCCTCCAGGCTAGCAAGCCCCTCCCCTCTCTGTCCATCAGCATCGTTGTTAGAGCTTGTTAGTCCATCGTGGGTTTTGCTCCTAACGAGTTCCACTGATGCTGCTGAGCTGTTCCCGTTCAAAGAATTCCCATTGTCAGAATTCCCGTTGTTCCCACTGTTTGTAGCCCCTTTGTTCCTGAAGGAGAAGAAGCTGGCCATTCCAGAGCCGGTGCGGCGCTTTCCGAAGAGTTTGAAGGCAGCTTTGTTGATCTTCCCGGTGGGCTGGGGGTCACACTGAGGGACCACAGGAGGCTCCACATACTCCGACTGCACCTCCATTATCTAGCGCTCTATCGCTTCCACTCTATCGTGGAGAGAGCTCTCTAACTGCCTCTCTGTCCTCTCTCTCTGGCCTCACATACACTCACCTTCTCTCTCTCTCTCTCTCTCTCTCTCTCTCTCTCTACACCCTGCTGTCTGGTGCTCTTTCACTCCCACTCTGACTGGCTCTAACGCCTGCCTGCTGGTTTTCTGTCTAAGCCTCCCTCCCCTCCCTCTCTCTCTCTCTCTCTCTCTCTCTCTCTCTCTCTCTCTCTCTCTCTCTCTCTCTCTCACACACACACACACACACAATCACACACACACATGCTGGGAGCTGCTCCTTACTGTATCCATGGCAACTGGGTGGGCTAAGCAGCTTTCGTCAACGTTGGCGGGGCGCCAGTGTCTGTCCTCCACTCCCTCCCCCATCCTCCTCCTCCTCTCTTCCTCTACCTTCCCTGTCACCAATGCACTGTTTGCTCTTTTTCTTTTGACTGTTCATCATTTTATAAGGTCTAAACACACTGCTTCCATTCCTGTATGTGTGTCTGTGTGTGTTTGTACTGTACATGGCTCAGTGTGGCAAATAAGTAGAGATACACACCCGCTGATGAATTATGACGGATTAGACATGAGTTCAATATGTTTATGGGAGCTTTCAGTGAGTCATAAGACAGAGTGGAACAGCTAATTATAAGGACAGCTTGCATACTTGTTTGGATTTGATGTTGTTTATACGTGTATGTGGAACATGAGCGATGGAGGTGAGAACAATCTAACAAGTGAAAGCAGACTACTTAATGGCAGGTAAGTTTCACATCTGAATATTTGTTTGTGGATGAGTCTCACTGTATCATCCTGTGAATTAAGCCATATCAAACCTTCATGCAAACAGTAGTTTGACGGTATAAATTTAGCAGCATTGCGTGTGTGCATATTTGTTTGTGAGCCTCAAAGTAAACAAAAATAAGCCTGCCAGAAGCCTGAATTAGAGGACTCAAATACGAGATCTGCTGATCAACAGTATGAGCGGGCTTAAGCTGGGATATGGATTTAGAAAAAATATTTCAGTGCACACACACACACACACACACACACACACACACACACACACACACACACACACACAGCTCAGACATGACTCCAATACAGTTTGGGGCAGACATATAGGCCATATGGCTTCAAACCCTATTCCATATGGACGCACAGGGCCAGGTGTCTGAGAGTTATGACAACACTAACTGTCATCCTAAGTGTGTGTGTGTGTGTGTGTGTGTGTGTGTGTGTGTTTTCGATCAACAGTACAATCTTTCTTTTAAGATTAGCTATACCGTTAGCACCTACCCTGGCAACCAGCAAAGTTTCTGTGGCATTTAGAACAATTAACTGTTCACTAACTGGAGGAAAAAAGCAATGTATAGTCTTAACTTGTTGACTTGTTCTTATTATCCTTTCCTTACTCTCTTAAGCATACACAAGACATTATATATATGTAAAATGGTTCAAAGTCTTACTGTGTGTTGATGAAACAAATAGTTATGTAAATGTGCAACTCATGCTTTCATTGAGGTGTTTTAAACGTGTTCTCCCCACCTCTCCTGTTGAGCTACTGTTTTTCATCTTCGCCTGCAGTGGATTCACCCAGAGTTCCCCCATTTTTGGAGTATGATCCACCGTGGGTGCTCTTTTTATTGCCTATTCTATCCTCCCAACCCCCCACGAATCTCCCTGATACCCCGACCCAGTTAGGAAACCTCCTTTCCCCTTCTTCCTCCCCTCCCCTGATCCTTTTCTCTCTCCTTCTCCTCCTCCTCCTCCTCCTCCTCCTCCTTAGTTGCTGTGGGCACTGGCTCTCCTCTTCCAGCCCACTGCTATTAAACAATGTCTGCATTCATCCGCCCAAGGCAACACACACACCCACAGATCCACAGACATGCTCACACCCACACAAACACATTTTGAGGGCTTCCCCAGAGTGAAGCACTGAAGCGTACCTTCCTCATGCTCTCCCCCAATAAGTAAGATAATCTGCCCAGTCAGCCCCCAAGTCAGTCACCCAGCCTGTTTGCTTGCCAGTCAGTCAGTCACCCAGCGTGCAGGTTTTCAGGTACACCAGATACTCAAGCGTGATGCCCTACAGCCATATGAGCAGGTCATCTGGCTATTGGATGGACTTGAAGCTGACTCTGAGCAGCAGATGGCTGGCTATGAGTGGAGACTGATGAGTGGGCTCAGTTATCACATGACGAGACAAAGGATTTAGCTGCCTTCTTAGAGTGGAAATGCACATTGTTCTGCTGCTTAAATCGTTACTGCTGGTATGTAATATTTGAATATTCTGTAATTAAGAATATTATCATAAATATGGCAACCTGCGCCAGCCTTTACAATCTATTTTACACTGCTGAACCAGGTTTTGGAGGGAAAGCAACAGGGTTTAGTGGATTATACCTATTTAATACAAATAAATTAATAAAGAAAGCAGGCTTTGACATTTTTGCAGTTTAAGGTAAATATTAGGCTAACTATTACAAAATAAGATATATAACAAGAATTGTGGTTCACAAGCTTTTCATGGATATTTCTGAGTGGTTTTAGTCAGTTTGGTGTTTGCAAAATGCAACATGTGCTTTCTTCAGAACCTAATGATTAATTAATTTCTCTATTTACTGTGAAAGAGAAGAAAGACGCATGCACACAAGCAGTAGAAGAAGTACACACCCTATTATCTTTACGCACACACCCTCTCTTCCTCCCCCATCTGTCTAAATAGGGTTCCCATTTCAGCCCCCTGAGTGAAGCTCAGCGCTAAGTGGGACAGTTAGAGGACATTTTCTCTCTCTGCCTCTCTTTCTCTCTCACTGTGTTTTCTGATGATATGGCTTGTCTGAGTGTGTGTGTGCGTGCGTGCATAGTGTGTGTACACTTTGCATTAGGTTTGCATGTAGCTGCTGGATGTGCTTTTAAAGCGTCCATGCTCTGCTAGCCAGGAGTCCTGCCGGATTGCAAGTATTGATGCTGTCTTAAAAGCATATGGCTGTGTATGTATGGCAGAGGGAATGCATGAAAGGATGCACAGATGGATGGATGAATATCTTAATAACCTGATAGAATGCAGAGTGTGCAAAATGTGTATACCAGTCATCTTCCTGATATGGTTATGAGAGTGAACCCATGCTAACTTTCCTGTTTGTGTCAGTCTGTTATTATTAAAAATGCACAAGCCTTCCGAGCCAATCTTTCCCAGAGATGCAAATCATTTCTAGGTAAAGGGAATAGATTTGTCTGCTTAGTTTCACTGCAGCTAGGAGTGGCTGTACAGTAGCTGCTCATCCTGCAAAGCCTATTCTAAATATTCCACTGTCTCCACACCATGATGTAATTATCTTGATTTATTAAAGCTTTTGTCCTTATCATCCAACTTTAATTATCTGACTATCATGAGATTGCCACTGGTGCCAAATATAAATATGATGATGGTGTCTCAACAGTCACGCTCTCTTCTTTGTTCAATCCACTTAATCCTTTTTGCATATTGGTACCAACCTTGCTATGAAGATGAAAAGTTCCAATCAGCTGCTACACACACACACACACACACACACACACACACACATATTCTGCTTCTCTAGGCCACAGCTCGAATAGGTAGTTATAGGTGAAATACAGCTATCAATATCATACTGGAGTTTTACATGCTTATATTAAACAATTGAGCTGAAGTCTGGTTGTGTGACATTCCCTTGATTGTGCCCTCACACCCACAAAGGAAATAGGATACGTAAGTAAATAAGTACACACCCTATTCAGTACAATAGCCTACTGCCAGCTCCTGCTATGAACTTGACCTAGCTAGGGTTTAGAAGTGTAATATTTGAAGTTCCAACCTTTAGACAGTCACTTTGTTAATCAGGTGTGAATGTAACGTATGGCTCTTGGCAAGGATGAAGAAAATAAAATTCATAATAGATATCTGTATCTTAAATAAAATATGGGGATATCCATAAAATATAGATATCTATTGTACCAGCACTACAATGTGTTTTGACATATCACTACATTCGTACACAATAGGTCTGTAAGAGATTTTCTAATGCAAACAAGGCACAGGTGTGCCTGCTTGTCCTTTGTTGCCAGTTATAATGGGCCAACAAACCCAGCGTGTTCTGGCATCGTTGTTAAGGAACAGATCTCTCTCTCTCTCTCACACACACACACACACACACACACACACACACACACACACACATACACCCACACCCATCATCTTCATCATCATCATCACTAGGGGTCCTATTGGTCAGGTTGTTTCAGGACAGAGGGTCTTCCAGCTCCAGATTAAACTAAGCTATAGTGTGGTGTGTGTGTGTGTGTGTGTGGTGTGTGTCACCGCAAAAGTTCATGTTTGTGTATGTGTGTAAAGTATTAACCCGCCCCCAAGGATTACCCCCTGTGCTCTTTTGTTACTTTAGTAATCAACAGGGAGTGGTATTAACTATTATTAAGCTGTCTAAGCACGGACTCCCCAAACACTTTTACATTCCAAAGGCTGCAAACAATGTCTCTATAGGCTTTTTAACCTTTTTCCTAAAATAACCCCCAAGCCATCAAATAAACCCTAGTAAGATGTCAGAGAGAAGTCTAGTCCAACTATATTTATTCATTCAATTAAATATTTCCGGTGCCAGTTTCTTTTTTGCACAGGTTACTGACGACTTGTCATAGCATGAAAAGCACAAGTTCAATTAATAATATTAATGATGGCTCTGTTCCATTAAGGTGTACCAGTTCCAGAGTCCTGGTTTTATGTATGCTAGCTCATTACTGGCTCACTAGGACACGTAAATGGAACATAGCCGTCATTAACGTTATTAATTTCTGCCACGAACAAGGTCTATACTTACTCCATGTGCATGCCACACACTAATTATAGAGCAATTTGGCATGGCGAACAAAGAGTCATGTGATGGATAATTCAAATTACTTACACAAGGGAGTAAATAGAGAGGTGCAGTTGCCAATTTCTGATCATTAAAAATGCTCTTTACATATTGTGGTCTTTATGCCCAGTGCCTGGTCCAAAACATTGCACCCCTACGGCATCCTATCAGTCTGATACACAAAAACAATTTCATGTTGTAGTCAGGTGTCATATAAAGAAAGAAAGGGGGGGGGGTATAAAAAAATAAATTTTACACTACAGGC